ATGGAGAGTTGGCATAGAATCCACAGGAAATTCATGACTTGGGAACATCTGGCCCTACCACCACCATGGGCCCAATGATGGCTCCAATCACCGGCATCCCCTCTGACCCAAGATTCAAAGTTCTAGGAGTTTCCGGGTCTGAGTGGCTCAGTTAATTTACCTAGAGGTACAAAAGAAGGATTTGAATTCTTCAGTGGTAATTGGAGGGTGCAATAAGAGGGAAGGAGAACATGGCTTCACAGAGCCTGGGTGGCCAGGCAGACAGCAGGAGGAGAATCCTGGGGAGGGGAGAACAGAACCAGTGTGGTGAGGAGCAGAGAACGGGGGTTTCATGGTGCCCCTAGGCTAGCCCAGGAGCTCAGTTATTTGTTAAATTAATGACAAAATGGAAAGCTAGTTCGGCCAGCATGGCTCAGTGGTTGAGTGTCAAACTATGAACCAGGAGGTCATGGCTGATTCCCAGTCAGGGCACATGCCCGGGTTGGGGGCTCCATCTCTAGTGGAAGGCATTCAAGAGGCAGCTAGTCGATGATTCTCTTTCATCGTTGATGTTTCTATCTCTCTCTCAACCTTCCTCTCTGAAATCAATAAAAAAAAAAAAAAATATATATATATATAAAAGAAACCTAAATCATGCTATTCAGATATGAGACTGAAGTTCCTCTGCCTGGAGGAGGTGGGGAGTGTTTCCCCACAGAGCGTGACTCATCCTTAGAGCCAGCCTGGCTAGTCATCCTTGCTCCTGAGACTTTCCCCATCTATTCCAGAGCAGGTAACCTCGATCCCTACCCCAGAGAGAGGCTGGGGCGTGGGTATCCTTCCCCTGTCTGAACCAGAAGAATGGGGAGCACTTGTACCTGGAATTTCCGTGGAATTACCCTTGGGTGTTCCCAGGCTGTAGCCAGACTGGAGTGACTTTGCCCTCATATTCTAAGGAAATGTGCTTCTCTCTCTGGGTTTTCAGGTGAGAAACCAACCCTCGATCCCCATCAATTATTTGCCTTCTTATCCAGAAGAATCTCTCTTTTCCCCTCTCCTCCATGCAAAGCAGCACAGCCCAAGAGCTTAGATTCTGAGTATCCTATAAATCTGGGTTTAAATCTAAGATCCTGTTCTTATTTGCTGACTGTGTAACCTTGTCAAATATTACCCTAAGCTGCCTCTTCCTATGAAAAGGGAAAAATAATGCCTGTTTTGCAGGGGCATGTCATGAAAATTTAGATAAAGTGACACGTACATATAAATCACAGGGTGAGGCCTCCAAAAGATGGCCCCATTAAAAATGTCAAAATACCATCTCTTCTCCCCAACTCAGGCTTATTAAATAAACACTAGTTATTGTCTCTTTCTCAAAAAGAATTTATTAGCTTGTAGGCAGTCCCAATGATAAGACATTATCTAGTGGATAAATGTCAATTTTGAGAATTATATTATTTTGCAATAAATCAGTTATATTATTTTACAACTAGTGACCCAGTGCATGGATTCATGTACACTGAAAGAAAATTGACTAGAAAAAGTTTTTTAATATCTCTATTAGCCCTTTATCTATAATAGAAGTGTCAGAGATGAAAGAAAATTAGTAAAATGTATATGAAAATAATATATAAATGGATTCATAAGTAAAATAACAACAGAGGTATATTGTGCCAATAGTTGGTCTTCAGACATATTCTGTCTATGATGCCGCTTTCTTTCAGCTTCAGAATGTCAACAGAAACAACCAAATTCACGATCAACAATGATATATTGAAACACATGCATATGATTGGCATCAGTGAGAGCTTTATATGCATCATGCATATGCAAGTCAAAGTTTATTTTTACACTAGAGGCCTGGTGCACGAATGTGTGCACCAGTGGGATCCCTCAGCCTGACTTGTGGGAATTGGGCCGAAACCAGCTCTTTGATATCTCCCAAGGGGTCCTGGATTGCAAGAGGGTGCAGGCCAGGCCAAGGGACCCCAATGGTGCATGATTGGGGCCGGGAAGGGACCACCCTCCCATGGGAGGGCTCCAGGGTGTGTTCAGCCCATCTCGCCCAGTCCCAATAGGCTGGACCCCAGCAGCAGGCTAACCTACCAGTTGGAGTGTCTGCCCTCTGATGGTCAGTGTGCATCACAGTGACTGGTCAAACAGTTGGACACTTAGCACATTAGGCTTTTATTATATAGGATTGCCGGTGCATGTCATATGTACCGGATGTCAGAGGGTCAGATGAATGTATGGTTGGTCACTTAGCCTTTTACATATATAGATAATTTCTTAGGTATTATCAGATCTTAAAGTGAAAATTTCCTTAAAATCTTCAAATTCCTATTTAGCTTAAGACTTTAACTGGTTAGATACACAAAGATATTATGTAGAAGGGTGGTCACTGCAGTGCTGTATATAAAAGTAATTATAAAAAATAAAAGTAGCCGAAACCGGTTTGGCTCAGTGGATAGGGTGTCGGTCTGTGGACTGAAAGGTCCCGGGTTCAATTCTGGTCAAGGTCTCATACCTTGGTTGCAGGCACATCCCCAGTGGGTGTGTGTGCAGGAGGCAGCTGGTCGATGACTCTCTCTCATAGACGTTTCTAACTATCTCTCTTAATTCCTCTCTGAGTAAAATCAATAAAATATATAATAAATAAATAAATAAAAGTAACTATAGAAGTTTATAAGATTAAATTATAGAATTGTTTTTTGCAGTAGAACACTATGTAGACTTTAAGAAGAGACTATAAAAATATATTTAACCACATGGAATGGTATTCTTGCTGTAATAAGTGACTAAGTTATAAAATAGCACTACATGTGATTCCACTTTTATTTTATATATATATATGTAGTATAAGTAGAAGGGACATATGTTCAATGTGAAAAGTGCTTCTCTTTTAGTGTGGGGGTATAGATAGCTTTTATTTTATTTTTACCTCATAACTGTTTTTTAATTTTACCACAAGAAATATATTATACATTATAGGAGAAAATGATCATGTGACCATGTTTGCCCTGATTTTAGACTCTTCAAGCACCCTTTTGATTTTTCAGATTTTTTTCTTCAAGGCCATCTCTTAAGATATAGGGACAAAGTTATATACAGCTGACAACTTAAAATGGATATCAAAGACAGGGATGAAAAGGTGTAAATGAAGGGAAAACAGTGCCCCTATTTTGTTTTACTTTTTTTCTTAACAAAGCAAAGCAAAACAAAACCACAGATAGCACTGTAGACTCCCCTCACATGACTGCTTTTAGCCCCATATGCCAAGGTTTCGGCTACAGTTTGATCTAGGTGAGGGCACACAAAAAACAACCAATGAGTGCATAGATGGGTGGAACAACAAATCTCTCTCTCTCTAAAGTCAATAGGTAAAATAAATAAACTATAAAGAAAAGTGTTTCCTGAGAATATGCCTAGCATGATTAGTCCCTGACAAATTGGTAAGATGCTTTTAAACATTTATTGAGTAAATGTTCTAAGCTTGGTAAGAGAAAAAATAAGATAGGGTCCTTGTCCTTCTTTTTTTTTTTTTTTAATATTTTTATTGATTTCAGAGTGGAAGGGAGAGGGATAGAGATAGAAACATCAATGATGAGAATCATTGATTGGCTGCTTTCTGCATGCCCCCTACTGGGGGACAGGAATAGGCCTGGAACTGGGGCATGTTTCCTGACTGCAAATTGAGCCCTATCCTTCTGGTTCATAGGTTGAGGCTCAACCACTGAGCAACACTAGCGGGGGTGGTGGAGTGGGGGGTGTGGGTTGAGGTGGGGGGATGTCATCGTCTTAAAGGAGTCTAAATCCTAGTTGGGCAGACAGATACATAAATAACTAAAATAATATGAGAAAGGTCATAATCAATTTACCACCAAAGTGATATTAACACATATATGTGATAACTTAAAGTTTTTACGTGAATGAGAGAAAACGTCCCTGGAGGAGGGGGAATTGTGTCACAGTTTGAAAAAATTAAATATTTGGGCAGAAAGATCAGTTTCTGGTCAAATGACCCAGACTTTGCATAGAAGATACCTCAGGGTACCCCAGTCTGGTACACCCAGTGAGTGTTTTTCATCGGGTTACCATAGTGAATGATTGTCATGGGATCAGGTTTCAAAACTCAAAGAGGTGTTTGGAGAAAATTATCAGCGATCTCCAGGGCTTCATGAAATACTTCAAATATTAGAAGTCAAGCACTGCTTCAGCCAAGCCCTTCGCTTCTCTCAAACACTCGGAAGTGTTACCTTTTGCTGACTGTGTTACATAACCTTCCCAAAGTCAATAACTTCCGCAAAAAGTTATTTATTTTATATTTTATTGACTTTTTACAGAGTGGGAGAGCGACAGAGCATTAGAAACACTCATCAGCTGCTTCCTGCACCCCCCCCCCCCCCCCCCCCGGGATGTGCCCACAACCACGGTACATGCCCTTGACGGAATCGAACCTGGGACCCTTCATTCCGCAGGCCGACGCTCTATCCACTGAGCCAAACCGGTCAGGGCTGAAAGTCAATAATTTATATACCACTCTGATCTTTCCAGGGGGAAACAAATGGAACCAATAATGCACGCAAGAGAAGAGGACAAGAGGGAGAATGTTAGAATATCAGGGGCTCCGATTTCTTATGAGCTTTTAATTTTCTTTAGTTGATGACCAACCTGAAGGGTCCAATACCCACTCAGATCTTTCCCTTCCCCTTGCCTTTCTCCATTTTTCTCCCTCCTTCAGTTTCCCTGGCTTTCTGGGTCTCCCCACTTCCTCTGGAGGCGCGCCTTCCCACATCAGCTCCAGCCCCGACTCCAGCGGATCTCCGCCCCCACAAACAGACCCGGGCTGGAGGGGTCTGGGGGCGTGGCCACGAGCAGAGGGGGCGGAACCAGGAGGCGTGGCCACGAGCAGAGGGGACGGGACCCGGAGGCGTGGCCACGAGCGAAGGGGCGGGGCGAGCCGGGCGCGGCGGCGGCGGCGGCGGCGCAGGCGCACTGTGGACCCGCCGCGCGAAGCTGCAGCTATGGAGCAGGCAGCCCCGGACTTGGAACGGCCGCTGCAGCCGGCGCCCCTCGAGCCTCTGGGCCACCCGGACGCTGGGCCGGAGGCGGCGGTCGGTGAGGAAGCGGAGGGGGCCCCGGATGAGGAGGACCCCGGGGACCGCACGGTGAGAAGGGGCGGCGGCGGAGGCTGCCCGGCCTGTGTCGGGGCCTAGCGGGCCGGGCGGGCGGGCGGGGGCGGGTAGATAGTGACCGGGAAACGCGGTGGAAAAGCTGGGCCACAGGTGCTGGGGGAGGGTGGGAAAGGGGGCGGGGGAGAAGACTTGGTGGAAAAAGGGGTCCTGGGTCGGGGTGGGGGGCGGGGAGAGGGCGTCGGCGAGGGGGCGCGGGTTGCCGTGGGGGCGGTTCCGCGGGCCTGGGGTCCGGGCTCGGGCCGGGCCGGGCTGCGGCAGGCGCGGCCCTCGGAGCTCGGGTCCGGGAGCCCGGAGTTCGGGTCCGAGAGGAAGGCGGGGGCTGTCCGTCTGGGTTTCAGAGGAGCCGGCCTCGCGGAGGAGGCGCCGCGGGCGTGGGCAGGGAGCTCGGGGGGAAGGGCGTGGGGGCCCCGCTCCCGGAGCCCGGCGGGGGCAGTGAGAGTGGGTGCTCGTCGCCACGGTGAGGACATTGAAGAAGGTGTTAGAGTGAAGAAAAGGACCAAGTTTAAAAAAAAAAAAAAAGAAGCATTTTAAGCTCATTTGGCAGTTCTTGCATTCGTGGAGCAGTGCTGTATCTCCCAGGGGAGACTTGGCATAGAGGTCTCGATCTGCTTGGGAAATTTTCATTTGCTTGAGGGGAAAAAAAAAAGAAACACAAAACGCATCATTCCCTATGTTTGTAACAGTTTTTGCTCCAAAGGGTTTTCACTCAGAATGCGCGATGGGTAAACCAGGTTAAAAAAAGACGCGTCTCAGGAATGCGGTCCGGTCATCAGAGCACCCTGCCCGGTGCGCGTAGCATTGCTCATCCATTCTGCTTTCCCCCCCTTTCTTTCTGGAACCTGGTGTTTGTGCTAATATGAAAACTGCCTTAGGACGGAGGAAGAAAAGTTAAAATTGTTGACTGTAACTAGAAAGACTCTCAACTTTTAAGTTTGGAGGTCAGATAGCCAGGAACTACTACAACACAGGAGTTGAAGGTTTTGCCTACGCGGGGAAATGTCTCTTAAAAAAAAAAAATTATGGTGAGATGGACAAGTAATGCAGAGAAGGTCCCCACAAAATAATAGGGTAGGATGAAGACTTTTGGGATGAATTTTAAGTTTTCCATAGAACTTTTCCCTAAATTATAGAATTATTTGTGGAGAGGTCAGCATCTATAAATGTGAGCGAGAAGTGTGTGCACTTCTGTGGTGCCTAAGTGGACTCTTAGATGATTGCTTTTTTTTTTTTCTTTAGTTTATTCATTTATTTTAATTCTCACCTGAGGATATTTTTTCCATTGCTTTTCAGAGAGTGAAAGGGAGGGTGGTCAGGGAAGAAGAGGAAGAGAAAGAGAAACATTCATGTGAGAGAGATATTGACTGGTTGCCTTTGGCACACACACCCTACAGGGGTAGGGGTGGGGAGCAAACCTGCAACCCAGGTAAGTGCCCTTTTCCGCAATCCAACCCAGACCTTTTGATGTGAGGGCCGGTGCTCTAACCACTGGGAGATACTGGCCAGGGCAGTTCCACTATTTATGTCTTCCTTGGTTGATTCTTGTATGTGTCCTGACCTGGACTGCAATCATGGCATATGGGGACACCCAGCCAGGGCTTATGTCATTTGCATTTTATGCAACTATGTGACTTAGTTTTTCTGTTGTGTCTCTTAAAAAAATAAATTATGGTGAGGTGTACAAGTAATACAGAGAAGGTTCCCACAAAATAATGATCAGTTCTTTGAAGCCTGTATATTCTGGGTTATGTCCACGCCTTACACCACAGAGGTAACCAGTATTTTGAATTGTCTAGTAACAGTTCTCTTGCTTCTCTTAACCTTACCATATGTATCCCTAAACAATATTTTGTTTAATTTCATTTGATTTTGAAATTTACATAAATATACCATGATTTTCTTTCTCTTGTCAATATTATGGTTTTAGGATTCATCCAAAATATGAGTTAGCATGTCTGTCTTCATGGCTTTATAGTGTGCCATTTCATAGATACTCTCCAGTTGATTTCTCTTTTCTTGGGGTTGTTAAACGATTCTTGCTTTCTAAAAAATTACCACTACCATGAACTTCTTCCTAGCCTCCTATATAATAAAGAGGTAATATACAAATTGACCATCACACCCTCACAAGATGGCTGCATAGGACTAGGTCCGCAGGGGTGTTAGTGAGGGACAACCAAATGACTGAGCAAGCAGGCTGCATGGGGAGACCAAACCAGCAGAGGGGGCGACCAGGCCGACAGGGGGAGGACAGTACGGGGTGACCAGGTCGGTGGGGGGGGGGGCAGTTAAGAGTGACCAGGCTGGCAGGGAGGGGGCAGTTGAGGATGACCTGGCCAGCAGTGGGGGGCAGTTAGGGGTGACCAGGCCGGCAGCGGGGGGTCGGGCAGTTAGGGGCTATCAGGCCAGCAGTAGGGGGGTACAGTTTGGGGTGACCAGGTCGGCAGGGGGGGCCACTTGGGGGCAATTAGGCTGGTACTGGGGGAGCAGTTAGGGGTGACCAGGCCAGCAGAGGAGGGCAGTTGGGGGCAACCAGGCCAGCAAGGGGGGCAGTAAGGTGTGACTGGACCAGCAGGGGAGGCAGTTATTGACCAGGCCAGCGGGGAGGGGGCAGTTGTGGGCGATTAGGCAGGTCAGCGCTTAGGAGCCAGTGGTCCAGGATTGTGAGAGGTATGTCCATTGCTGGTTTAGACCCGATCCCCTGAGAGGTCCCGGATTGGAGAGGGTGAAGGCTAGGCTGAGGCGTGCCCCTCTCCAGCACCATTGGAATTAATATAATAATTATTCAGTGTGTGTACATTTTCTCGGGACACCTTGTATATATCTCTTGGTCCAAATGTCTTAGAATCTAATGTAAGTTTATGAGTGGACTTGCAGGATTATAGGGTAGTTAGCATGTTCAACTCCAGTAGGTAGTGCCAAATTGTTTTCCAGAGGGAATATATAGTACCAGTTTATACTCCCCATCAACAGTGCCTGATACTCTATCCTTATCAATACTTAATATTTTCAGACTTTAAAATATTTGCCAATCTTGTGGGATATGGTTAAAGCAATCTTAGGTTTTGTCGGGAGGTAAGAATCATGTCTTTTTTTTTTTTTTTTTTTTTTTTTTTAAGAATTGGGTCTTTTTTTTTTTTTTTAAATAAATTTTTTTTATTGATTTTTCACAGAGTGGAAACGAGAGAGGGATAGAGAGTTAGAAACATCGATGAGAGAAGACATCCCCCACTGGGGATGTGCCCGCAACCAAGGTATATACCCTTGACTGGAATCGAACCCGGGACCTTTCAGTCCACAGGCAGACGCTCTATCCACTGAGCCAAACCGGTTTCAGCAAGAATCATGTCTTTTGATAGCTACATTATGAGTTTAATTTTGGTTATGGTGATAAAAATTTGGGTGATTCTTTTTTTAAAAAATATATATTTTATTGATTTTTTTTTACAGAGAGGAAGGGAGAGGTATCGAGAGTTAGAAACATCAATAAGAGAGAAACCTTGATCAGCTGCCTCTTGCACACTCCTTACTGGGGATGTGCCCAAAACCAAGGTACTTGCCCTTCACCGGAATCGAACCTGGGACCCTTTCGTCTGCAGGCCAACGCTCTATCCACTGAACCAAACCAGTGAGGGCTGGGTGATTCTTTTTGTGTGTGTGCAAAAGCTTTTAGAGACAACTAGTATGAAGTTGCAACTAGAGTGTAAAATCCATTTATGTTAATTTAAAGGTGATTCTAAAAATCTCATTTAAAAAAACACGTATTAAAAAAAATTCACCGAAAGAACTTGTGTATGTTCAGTTTAAGATATTTGAAAACCCAAAGATGCCATCACACAGAGAAGTTGTAGTTATATTGTATTATTTGACATTTTAGGGAAATGTTTGTAAATATGTGTTCCTAGAGACCATCTGTAAGTGACCAAACATAGAGGGTTTCCTGAAACAACACTCTCCAATGTAGTAATTCATTTGTAGATGCAAGCCATTTGGACAGGTATTTTAGAAATACCGGGAGTTATATATACTCTGTACACTGTTCCCGCCTCCCTCAGAACTACCAAACCCTTCTTACAGGGTCATATACTCCTTTTCCCTCTTTCTGTCTCCTTTTCCACCCTAGTTCCTCCCCACTGGAGAAGCATTGCTATAGCTGTGGTACTACTGTTATCCATAGGAATGTGGTCTGGGCAGAAAGTTAAGTTATATTTGTTTGTGTATGTATTCACAGTGAGGCTCCATTCTTCACGTAATTTTGAAGATTACACTCAAAAGGCAGATAAACATGAAGCCGACGCTCAGAGATTTGGCCAAGGTCACCAAGTAGTCAGTCAGTGGCATGGCTGGGACTTGAGACTAGGTCTCCTGGCTTTGAAATTAGTCTGTCCATTAAGCCATGGAATAAAAAAAGTTATAAGTTGCTCTTTCCGCCATCCGTCTGTGCCGCCACAATGGTGCGCATGAATGTCCTGGCTGATGCTCTGAAGAGTATCAACAATGCCGAAAAGCGAGGCAAACGCCAGGTCCTCATTAGGCCGTGCTCCAAAGTCATCGTCCGGTTTCTGACCGTGATGATGAAGCATGGTTACATTGGCGAATTTGGAATTATTGATGACCACAGAGCTGGGAAAATAGTTGTGAACCTCACAGGCAGGTTGAACAAGTGTGGAGTAATCAGCCCCAGATTTGATGTGCAACTCAAAGATCTAGAAAAATGGCAGAACAACTTGCTTCCATCCCGTCAGTTTGGTTTCATTGTACTGACAACTTCAGCGGGCATCATGGACCATGAAGAAGCAAGACGAAAACACACAGGAGGGAAAATCCTGTGATTCTTTTTCTAGGGATGTAATACATTTGTGGAAATAAAATGCCTCACAGGACAAAAAAAAAAAAAAAGGAAGTTATAAGTTTGTAAATTGCTCCAATACTATATTTTAAACTTTTTAGTTAGTTAAGATTAAGTTTAAATTTTAAAACAAAGAGAAATGTGTAAATGGTATATTGATTTATCAAGCAGTCTTTTACCATAAAAATATTTATGCAGAGAGTGTGCAGAGATGGCAAAAAGCTCACCTCATGAGCCTTAATTTTAACTGCAAATTTTGGACAGAGAGTAATTTGTGCGAATTTCTCTGCACCTAAGGGTAGTGGAAACAAGCACTGCCTAAGACTCACAAGTTTCTTCTGGTTTTAAATATCACTAGTCAAGATTCCAAATTCTGCTGTAAACTCATATTCTATAGTCTCTGTTTTTCTTTCTGTAAGTGTTCAATCCTCTTGTTTTCCATTGTTTAATTAGAAGTCTCCTTTCTATTCCTTTTGTACTTTTTCCATGTAAGGAAGAACACATTCTTTTTTTAAGAATTGTCAGTACTATTTAAAGAGATATAGAAAATGGAACTAGAAGAGAGGGATCCAGTTTCCAAGAAAGTAGTAATTAGTCCTGGCAGAAGAGAGGAATAACAAGGGAATGGAAGTAAGAATACTTCTTTTTTAGGCTGGAAGATTCCATTGAATTGATAGTTAACAGTATTTGCCCAGAGGCGAGCCACTGCCTAAGTGATTTTATTTTTTATTTTTTAGGGAGAGCACTCTAGGCCAGGGAGTGCTGGTAGGGGCAAAGAGAACTTGAGCAACTGGTACTTAAAAAATTTCCTGCCGAAACTGTTTTGGCTCAGTGGTAGAGCATCTGTCTGCGGACTGAAAGGTCTCAGGTTCGATTCTGGTCAAGGGCATGGACCTGGGTTGCGGGCACCTCCCCACTAGGGGGTGTGCAAGAGGCAGCTGGTCGATGTTTCTCTCTCATCGACGTTTCTAGCTCTCTATCTCTCTCCCTTCCTCTCTGTAAAAAATCAATAAAATATATTTTTAAAAAATTCCTATACACAGTTAGCATCCTCACTGACCTGGCAGCAGAGAACTGAGTGGAGTAGGCCAGAACTGTAGGTTTGAGGTTTTTTTGTGGGTGAGGATAACATAAAAAAGGAAAAGAAAATGTATAGGCATAGTTACAAAGTTTATCAGTTTAACAGCAAGTGTTTAAATCATACTCAAGAATGTTTTTCTCATTTCTCTACCTCAGCAGCGCTCAGCTATTTCTGAAGGTGACTCATAGTACAAAATACATTTTTACAACATAATCAGCATACACTTTCATACATTAAGTATTGATTCATGAGACTACTTAACCATTACTTCATGCTATGCCCTCTAATAATTTTACACATTTTTTTCATTAAAAGGAATGTTTTGTTTTGATTAATCCTCACCAGAGGATATTTTTTCATTGATTTTTAATTAGTGGGAAGGAGGGAAGAGACAGAAAGAGAAACATCTATGTGAGAGAGAAACATATCGATCGATTGGTTGCCTTTCTCATGGTCCCTGATTAGAACCATGGCCAGGACCAGGGCCAGGGCTGGGGATTAAGCCTGCAACCAAGATATGTGCCCTTGACCAGGATCGAACCCAGAACTCTTCAGTCTTTAAGCTGATTCTCTATCCACTGAGCAAAACTGGCTAGGGCAGTTAGGCAAATTTAAAATTGAATATAAAATAACCCCTGCTTTTATAATTTTTAAGTGAAATTGCCTGCTGAAAAGCTTGCCTTTTGGCATATACAGTATATAATATTTTATTTTTGAGAGAGATTTGAGTTTGATAAAATAAAAAATTAGGTATCACTATTGAGGATCATTCATTTTGTACAATGCATTTTTAGATTTTTTTTTTTCTTATGCATTTCTGTATAGACTTGTTCTTGGTTACTTCTATGAAATTCTACATTTTATTGTTCTTTCTCCCATTACCTTTCTACTGAGGCCTGGTGCACGAAATTTGTGCACTTGAGTTGGGGGGGCGTCCCTCAGCCTGGCCTGTGCCCTCTCGCAGTCTAGGAGGCCTAAGCTGGCAGTTGGACACCCTTAGTGCTGCCGTGGAGGCGGGAGAGGCTTGCTAGCTGTGAGCCTGTCTTCTGGCTGAGCGGTGCTCCCACTGTGGGAGCACTGATCACCAGGGGGGCAGCTCCTGCATTGAGCGTCTGCCCCCTGGTGGTCAGTGTGAGTCATAGCGACGGGTTCTGCCATTCGATTGACTTACATATTAGCTTTTTATTATTATATAGGATGTTTTAATACTTAAATGTATGATACTTGTTAAAATAGCTTCTGGAAAAATTTAATATGCTATAGTCTACGGGTAGAGATAGGCAGGTATATCATTTGCTGCTGTCATTAACTTAAGAAATACAAGAAACGAGTTTGAAATACATACCAATAATGGGTTTTATTATAATAGCTGGGGTTTTTTTTCAATACCATCTTAAAAGTTTTTTTGTTGTTGTTCTTCCCTTTGTTTTTGTCCAGATGACAGAAAATAATTTTTGTTTGAAGAAGATAGAAATTAGTGTTTCAGAAGCAGAAAAGCGAACTGGAAGAAATGCCATGAACATGCAAGAAACATACACTGCATACCTCGTTGAAACAAGGTGGGTGATGAGAATAGGCCTAGGTTTAGATAGAAAAGCTTTGGTAGCTATTGATGTAAATTCTGTGTATGATGGAATTGTTTACAGGTCCTTGTCTTTTTAGGGATTGTTTTTGTGTATTTACCTTTTTACCAGGTAAACAGGTGAGTTCTTGCATTCTTGGTAACTGCATTCTAATGTACTTGTTTTTGGGGAGCAGGAAAGACGTGAAATACTTCTGGTATGTGGGATATTACTTGACACATGATTTCATGGAGGTCTTTATACAATCCCAGTGCAATTTTGGGAAAAGGTATCAGGTTCTCAGGGGTATTTTAAGTGGACTTAGGTAGGTGGAGATGTTAAAGTCTGGAGAAGAGAAAACAATCTGAGTCATTTTAGGAGAGTTGGGAGTTTCAGAGAAATTAACAGAAAAAGCGTTGAGAGTGAAGCTTTAGACTTTGGGTAGAATGGAAAAGGCAAAGTAAATCATGGAGTAAGAAATAAAAACTCACCAGAAAAGTTCTTTTATTTATTTACCCAAGGATATTTTCCCATTGATTTTTAGAGAGAGTGAGAGAGTGGGAAAGACAGAGAGAAACATCGATTTAAGTGAGACACATCAGTTGATTGCCTCCTGCACGTACTCGGGGCCTGGGCCGGAGAGGAGTCTGCAACTGAGAATCAAACCCTGGAACTTTCCGTCCGCAGGCTGAGGCTCTATCCACTGAGCCAAACAGGCTAGGGCAGGAAAGTTCTTTTATATCATAAGGAAAAGTTAAAGAAATTAGGTGGCTTTATCTAGAGAAAAGCAAGGGAAGACTCTATTTTGCCTATTATAAACAATTTATATAAAGACTACTGAGTACCCAGCAAGTGTGGCTCAGTAGTTGAGTGTCAACTTATGAACCAGGAGGTCACTGCACATGCCTGGGTAATGGGTTCAATCCCCAATGAGGGATGTGCAGGAGGCAGCTGGTCATTGATTCTCTCTCATCATTGGTGTTTCTATCTCTCCCTCTCCCTCCCTCTCTGAAATCAATAAAAATATATTAAAAATGAAAAAAGACTATACTGACTACTTCTTTTCTTTCTGCAGACTGAGCAGAAAATTTTTAAAAATATGTATTTTATTAATTTTTTGCAGAGAGAAAGGGAGAAGGATAGTTAGAAACATTGATGAAAAACATTGATTAGCTGCCTCCTGCACACCCCTACTGGGGATGTGCCCGCAACCATCATACATGCCCTTGACCAGAATCGAACCTGGGACCTTTCTGTCCACAGGCCAACGCTCTATCCACTGAGCCAAACTGGTTAGGACTGAGCAGAAATATTTTCAATTAAAACAGATATGAGAGCCCTAGCCAGTTTGGCTCAGTGGATAAAGTATTGGTCCTCCGACTGAAGGGGATTGGAATCCGTCAAGGACAGGTTCCTTGGTTGCAGGCCCGATTCCTGGCCCTGGTCAGGGTGCATGGGAAAAACAACCAGTCATTGTGTCTCTCACATTGATGTTTCTCTCTGTCTCTTCCTCTCCCATCCACTCTCTAAAAATCAATAGAAAAATATCCTAGGATGAGGATTAACAAAACAAACAAATGAAAAGTTATTTAAAAAAGCAAAAACAAAACAAAACAAAAAAAACCCATAAGAAGCAAAACTGATATGAGAGATCTTTTTGATAAGGAGTAAAAGAAAATGATAAAACTATCAGACCTAGTTGTAAAGACTTATAGTAACCATGTTTTAATATGAATACATTTTTAAGAATAAAGTTTTAAACTCCCCATTTTCTTATGCTTTACCAAAAGTCACAAAACTCATCTTAAGGCTGAACCCTATAACATTCCAAGGCTTTCTCTAGATCTGTGAGTCTACTAAAATGAAAAGTAAGCCCTAACCGGTTTGGCTCAGTGGATAGAGTGTTGGCCTGCGGAGATTTTGGTCAAGGGCATGTACCTTGGTTGCGGGCACATCCCCAGTGGGGTGTGTGTGTGTGTGTGTGTGTGTGTGTGTGTGTGCGCGCGCGCGCGCGCAGGAGGCAGCTGATCGATGTTTCTCTCTCATCGGTGTTTCTAACTCTCTCTCTCTCTCCCTTCTCTCTGTAAAAAAAAATCAATAAAATATATTAAAAGAAATAAAATAAAATAAAACCAACAAACCATATGGTCTCCCATGAGAGTATCTCTGTGATATTATTTAGTTAAATTAGCCACTTAAAGAAAATCATACTTTAGAAGTGTTTCTTAATTTAATCATTTGGTATTCTTTCCATAATTCAGTGTTATGCAGATAGTCTTAAACAATATGAATATCATTAAGCCTTTCTATTAAGGAAAAGTTGATTCCTGTCTTATGGCTTACCTATCAAGGCTCTTTGGATACAAATAGGAAGTCCATTAAACAGTTGCCAATAAATTACACTTTAGTAGGCTAAGACCAAATAAGGTTAAAGTCACTGGTTTTTAATTTCTTCAGACATGTTGTGTTTTCTTGTCCTTTGAATATGAACCCTTTGAAGTTAGATAAGAATATGCCTCTTTTAGAATAGGTAAGAATGCCTCTGTGCTTGGGAGGCAGTATGCTATTACTTAATTCTTCCCATAATTTGTAAAACGGGGCTAATGATGCTGTCCGCTTTATTGTGAGTTTTATATTACATGTTGCATGTAAAACTAATTATGTGCTATTAAATACTTGTTAAATGATTGAATAAATGGGGGTAGTTTTGTGGCCCAATGAAAATGTTTTCTATGTTTTTAGTCAATTTCCAATGACTAGACCTTGCCCGTTTAGAGTTAATTTAAAATTTTTCTTTGGATATATCTAGTTTATTCAAAACAGTGAATTGATTTTTTTTTAAAAATGGCCATGCTTTTATTTTACTGTTTTGTTAATTCTGATTGCAGGATATTTTTTCATTTATTTTTAGAGAACGTGGAATGGGAGAGAAACAACGAGAAAAAGACATCAATTTGAGAGAGACATATTGTAGGCCTTTTTTAAAAAAAACAAAACACTTAGCAGTTTTTCTAGCAGCCTTGTATGTGTATTGCTTATAGGCTATATTTATCTATTAGCAAGATGTGGGTTTTATTGGTAATGATTTTGAATAATTTGAAACTTGATATTCTAGATATTTTTTTCAACTGAAGTTGAGAATCTGAATTGGAATAATATTAATCTCAACTAATGATTAGGTCAGCTCTTTAAAGTGAATTATGATTTAATGATCCTATATTTTTGCTATGGGAGCCATTTCTACATTTTGAATTTTATAATTTGTTTCCTTTTTATTAATATGCAATGAATAAACTTAGTGGCAAATAATTTGTAAATAATAAAAACACTAAACATCTTTTATGCTGAGCATGGACTAGTATACTTTCTTAGGATTTTGCTTTATTCCAAGACTGATTTAGTTTCTGTGCCTTTATGCCCTAATGTACAAGTGCACATTGTGGTTCTATGCATGTTATTGTCATGCAAATAATTATAAAATAGGAAGGTCCTCAAAATGAATTTTTTTTGTTTGTTTTTTTGTTAATCCTCACCCAAGGATGATTTTCCCATTGATTTTTTTTGACAATTTATTTATTGATTCAGGTATTACATATGTGCCCTTATCCCTCCATTACCTCCCTACCAACCTGCCCATTGATATTTTTATTTTTTTATTTAAAGAAAAATGTATTTTATTGATTTTTTACAGAGAGGAAGAGAGAGGATAGAGAGTTAGAAACATCGATGAGAGAGAATCATCGATCAGCTGTCCCTTGCACACCCCCTACTGAGAATGTGCCCGCAACTAAGGTACATGCCCTTGACCGGAATCGAACCTGGGACCTTTTCAGTCTTCAGGCCGACGCTCTATCCACTGAGCCAAACCGGTTTCGGCATAGAGAGTGGAAGGGAGAGACACAGAGAAAAACATTGATTGGGGGGGTCTGGGGATCAAGCCTGCAACCTAGGTATGTGTCCTTGGCGGGAATTGAACCTGCGACCCTTGAGTCTGTGGGCCAATGCTAGCCATTGAACAATCCAGCTAAGGCCTGATAATATTTAGAACACTGATACTTTCTAACAGTGATTATGCTAGTCAAAATAATTTCAGTTATCTTTTATATGATTTAACTCTAACTTCCCCCAGCTATCAGTTGAGCATTTATATGGATAAACCTGCATTACCTGCAGCTTTTTATATTAAAGGTGGAACTAGAGATGAATTTAAAAAAATATATATATATATTTTATTGATTTTTTACAGAGAGGAAGAGAGAGGAATAGAAAGTTAGAAACATCGAAGAGGGGGAATCATCGATCAGATGCCTCTTGCACACCCCCTTCTGGGGATATGCCTTAAACCAAGGTACATGCCCTTGACCGGAATGATCCTGGGACCTTTCAGTCCGCAGGCCAATGCTCTATGCACTGAGCCAAACCAGTTTCGGCTAGAGATGAATTTTTATATTCCTTCTCCCCCACCCATTTATTTATTATTTTTAAAATATATTTTTATTGATTTCAGAGAGGAAGGAAGAGAGAGAGAAATATCAGTGATGAGAGAGAATCATTGATTGGCTGCCTCTTGCATTCCCCACATTGGAGATTGAGCTCATAACCCAGGCATGTGCCCTGACCAGGAATCAGACCGTGAAAGCCTGGTTCATAGGTCAGTGTTCAATTTCTGAGCCACACTAGTCAGATCCCACCCTTTTAGAGTTAATTAAAATTATTTTCTTGGATACATCCAGTTTATTCATAACCGTAAATCAATTTTTTAAAAATGGCTATGCTTGTTTTTATTTTATTGTTTTGTTAATCCTCCTTGGAGGATATTTTCCCATTGATTTTTAGAGATAGTGAAAGGGAGAGGGAGAGACAGAGAGAGAAAAACATTGATTTGAGAAAGACACATTGATGGTTACCTCCCCCACAGTCCCCGATCAGGGCCAAGGATCGAGCCTGCAACCTAGTTACATGTCTTTGACTGGAATTGAACTTGGGACCCTTCAGCCTGTGGGCTGATGCTCTAACCACTAAGCAACTGGTTAGTGCTGACTATATTTTTACAGTGTCTTGTTCTATAGCATGAATGTTCTCTCTCATTGTGGCAGAGGTGCAGTTACACATACTTTTATTTAATGAAACAACAGCTAAGCCAGATTTTGCTACATATATTGTAAAATCAAGATATATTAACTGAATACTTTGAGACTTTTAGAGTGTTCTAATATGATTATTTCTCTTGAGTCCAGTTTGTTTCCTATAACAGAAGGATATAACAAAAGGAAAGTGGTTAGGAGTGAGGGCTTTGGAAGCAGGTGGGTCTGAGAGCTGTACCCACAGATTGTTAAGATTGTATGAAGAGTACATACTGTGCAGCTGCTCCCTCATCTGTAAAATGGGGACAATAATTCCTGTTTCACAGGTTCGTTGTAAGGATTAAGTAAAATAATACAGGAAAATTTCTTTACTCAGTAACTGGTTCATAAACATTCAGTAAATGGAGTTATAAAATTTAAAGGATGTTGTATGCATGTATTGGTGTCTTTAAAAAATAATAGCAGTCTTATTCTATTTCTTTTCAGGTCAGTGGAACATATTGATGGTCCAAGTGTGTTAACAGACTCGCTGTGGAGGCGGTATAGTGAATTTGAGTTGTTGAGAAACTACCTTTTAGTTTACTATCCACATATTGTTGTGCCACCTCTACCAGAAAAAAGGGTAAGAAGTGAAATGGCAGTACCATTAAGAAGAATTTAACATTGAGACTATTCTTCATGATAATTTTGTTTACCTAGGCAGAATTTGTTTGGCATAAACTCTCTGCTGACAACATGGACCCAGATTTTGTGGAAAGGCGACGAATTGGTTTAGAAAACTTCCTCTTGAGAGTTGCTTCACATCCCATCCTTTGTAGAGACAAAATCTTCTATTTGTTTTTAACACAGGTAATTTTCTTTTATCTAGTATTTTTTAAAAAATAATTTGACCTGGCATTCTTAACTTTTAAATTGTGTATGCTTGTTCTTTTTTTTTTTTTAACTTAAAATTTTTTTTAAAATTACGGTTAACATAAAGTATTATTACATAGTGATTAGACATTTATATCACCCTTGTAAGACTGTTGGAATGCTTATTTTTTTTTAAAAATTTATTGATTGAGAGAGAAAGGGAGGGAGAAAGGCAGAGGAGGAAGAGAGAAACATCGACCTATTATTCCACCCATCTATGCAGCCATTGATTGATTCTTATATGTGCATTGACTGAAAATTGAACCTGAAACCTTTGAGTATTAGGATGATGCTCTAACAACTGAGCTACACGGCCAGGGCAGAATGCTTATTCTTTTTTTTTTTTTTTTTTTTTTAACAATTTTATTGATTTTTTACAGAGAGGAAGGGAGAGAGATAGAGAGCTAGAAACATCAATGAGAGAGAAACATCGACCAGCTGCCTCTTGCACACCCCCTACTGGGGATGTGCCCGCAACCAATGTACATGCCCTTGACCGGAATCGAACCTGGGACCCCTCAGTCCGCAGACCGATGCTCCACCACTGAGCCAAACTGGTTTCAGCCAGAATGCTTATCCTTAAAGTTATTTTTGAAGTAGCTTTGTTGATCTGTATGCATTTTTGTTTGTTTTGAATTTTAGAATTATTGGTTATATTCTTTTGGCTAGAATTTTTATACTGAAAAATACTAAAGACTGATTTTTGGTATCTCTTAATGATATCAAGGTTACTCTTTAGTTTTTTTCAAGCCCAGATTGTAAAATCTTGGGTTCATCTTTTGGTAATTTTTTTAAAAAATCTGGATTGAATGTTTAATTTTGAAGTGAAAATAACTATTTTTAACCCTTTCCCCCATTTCCCCTTAAAGAACAACAGAACAATAGGTCTTTTGTCCAATTTGAAATGTTTCTTATGTTTTATTTTGCAGTGATTTCTAAAATTAACTTTAATTTTTAGGAAGGTAACTGGAAGGAGATTGTGAATGAAACTGGGTTTCAGCTGAAGGTAAGAGTATTTGTATGCAATAATTTACTGTGTCCTTTAATGGTTGCCAGAACAGTAACATACACTTAGTGGGTACTTGATATTGAATGAGTGACTGTTGGGAATAGGTCTTGCATCTAAAATCATTGGTAGGGTTTTCAAGGAAACACTAATTTAATTTTGATTTGTGTCATTTTGGTTACTAGTGAGACTATAATGGGCATATTTATGAATTAATTCTATTAGGAAAAGAACTTTTTGAAGCAGCAAGTTGTAGATTTTCTATACAGTATACTCATATTATACTTTGCATCTTTTTTTTCCCCCCTCTATCTTTACAACTGCCACTCGCAGTGATGCCCCCGGTAATTGCTCACTCTTTATCAGGTATGAACGATGTTTCTGAAGAATTGAACTTGGGTTTTCCAGTCTTAATAAACTAAAAGATGAGCCTTTGGTCTACTTCTTCCTCCTAGGACGTGGGGTCAGGTTTTTTTGTGTTTTTTTTTTTTTTAATCTTCACCTGAGGATATTTTTCCATTGATTTTTAGAGAGAGTGGAAGAGAGGGAAAGTCAGAGAGAAACATTGATGTGAGAAAAACACATTGATTAATTGCCTCCTGCATGTATCCCGACCAGGGCCCAGGCTGGGGAGGAGCCTGCAACCAAGGTAGAGGCCCCATGCCTAGAATCGGAGGCCAGTTTTGAGTAGGCACAGGAGTCATTTTGAATTCGCATTTGTTAGTGAAATAGGCTCATTTAGTTTTTGTGCAGCTTTTTAAATTTAGTCATTAGAATTAGTATTTGGGAATGAAATTGTTATCTAAAAATTGAAGAGCCTAGTGATGATAAGATGTTCACCCTAACTCCACTATATTCTCTGTATTATCCCCAAAAGTAATATAACAGTGTTTCTTGTAAGTTTTCAGGTCTTCATCTCTTGTGTAAATTAAATAGGAAAGTAGGAAAATATATAGTCCTAGTTGGTCTCAGTGGATAGTGTCGGCCCCAGGATTGTTTGATTTCCTCATTTGATTCCAGTCAAAGCTGTGTGGGAGGCAACCAATCAATGTGTCTCTCTCCCATCAATGCTTCTCTCTCTCTGTCTCTCCCCCTCCCTTCCATTCTTTCAAAAAATCAATGGAAAAATATCCTCCAGTGAGGTTTAACAACAACAACAAAACACCAAAAAAAAACCCACAAAGGAAAAAAGGAAAATGTATATAAATTGATATACACAATTCAGATGATAATATATTAGCAAAAATTTACTAGGTCTAAGTAACAAGAATAAAATGTTTTTGCAGTAATTTTGAAACTCTCTAGAGAAATTATGTATTGGTGCATAGCTATTTGAAATTTAGTATAAAAAAACTAGAAGAGAAAATTATTTTCTGCACAGATAATATAAAGTAAATTTGCTTAATTTTGTCATAATTGATTCTAATTTATAAATAATATATATTTAAAAATATATTTTTATTTATTTTAGAGAAGAAGGGAGAGGGATAGAGAGTTATAAACATTAAAGAGAGAGAAACTAACCTCTCAACTCATGGTTTGATGCTTAACCACTGAGTCACACTAGCCAGACTAATTTAGAAATATTTTCTTGGCAGATTATATGAAAAAAGTTAAAAATTTCTTGGCAATAATTTATTACTTTATCGTACTCAGGAAGAGCACTAGAGTTTTAGTTTAGAAATGGATTTAAAGCCGAAACCGTTTTTGGCTCAGTGGATAGAGTGTCAGCCTGAAGGGTCCCAGGTTCCATTCCGGTCAAGGGCATGTACCTTGGGTGCAGGCACATCCCTAGTAGGGGGTGTGCAAGAGGCAGCTGATGGATGATTCTCTCTCATTGATGTTTCTAACTCTCTATCCCTCTCTTTTTCTCTCTGTAAAAAAACCAATAAAATATATTAAAAAAAAAAAAGAAAGAAAAGAAATGGATTTAAAATAACTCTAATCTTTAATAAGGTATATGTAATTTTGATAGGATTTTCTGAAGATTACTCCAAGGTATGCTGGAAGCTAATAATAAGGAAAAGAGCAAACTAAAATATAATTGTTTTGGTGACATCTCTTGATATAATGGAAAATTTTAATTTTTTTTAGTCATTGATTTAGTTATTAGTTTAGTATCTAGTTATTACTTGTTTGTCCTTGAACCCAATTCTGTCATAACTTTGGTAACCTTGATGAAACTGCTAAACTTTACCCATATAGACTACACTGTTTACAGGTTTTGAGTCTTATGTGTAGGTGCTGTTTAAATGTCCAGATATATTGTATTTGGCCAGCCTTATGGTATAACCTTGGTTTTGCTTTTATAAACTCTTTGAAAGGTAACAGTATTACAATATTAGTAATTTGAAAAGTCATACTTAATGAAATAGTTGAGAAGTAAAATGTATGGAGAGAATGTGGAAACTCATATCTTGCTGCATTCCTTATTTTGCTGTGTGCTATTTCTTGTTTTAAGTCCTTCCTTTTATTAAGGAAATAAGACCTTTTTGGGTTTTGTGTGTGTGTGTGTGTGTGTGTGTGTGTGTGTGTATATACATACACACACACACACACACACCTTTTTTTAGAAATATATTTTATTGATTTTTTTACAGAGAGGAAGGTAGAGGGACAGAGAGTTAGAAACATCGATGAGAGAGAGACATAGATCAGCTGCCTCCTGCACACCCCCCACTGGGGATGTACCCACAACCAAGGTACATGCCTCCAACTGGAATTGAACCTGGGACCCTTTAGTCCGCAGGCCAATGCTCTATCCACTGAGCCAAATTGGTTTCGGCTAAAAATATATATTTTTATTGATTTTTAGAAAGGAAGGGAAAGTGTGATAGAGATAGAAACAACAATGATGAGAGAGAATCGGCTGCTTCCTGCATGCTCCCCACTGGGGATCGAACTGTGCTCTTCTGGTTCATGAGTTGATACTCCACCACTGAGCCACACTAATCTGGCAGTGAGATCTTTTTGAACCACCTCAAACATATGTACATGCATGGATACATAAAACATAGATATGTGATGTTATCTACATACACTGAGTGGCCAGATTATTATGATCTCTGAACGCATAATAATCTAGCCACTCAGTATATATATTAGAGGCCTGGTGTATGAATTTGTGCATGGATGAGGTCTGGAGGATATGAGCAGTTGACTTGCCTCCCTGCTGGTTGAAATCCTGGTCAAGGGGATAATTAGCATATTAGCCTATTATTATATAGGATATACACTGAGTGGCCAGATTATTATGCTTTAAGAGATCATAATCTGGCCAATCAGTGTATATACATATATATAGTTAGTTACCTTTCACTTATCTGAAGGTCATGTATTTGGCAGTTACAACTAACCTGATCATAGTTGAAAGCTGGGATTTAAGCAAAACTGAGTTCAGAGATGCCATTCTAGCTACTTGAGCTACACCAACCAGGGTTATTTCCATTTTTCAGATGAGGAGCCGTAGAAAGTAACTTATCCATGATCAAATAGTTGTAAGTGATGGAGTCTGAATCTAAGTCTAGAACTAACTCACAGCTCTTCTTAATTACCATTCCATATTACCTCTCTTCACCTATTTGCTTTGTAATAAATGTATGTAAAGATGATTGGTAGAGGAAGTGTTGGGAACTTTTTTTTCTTTTTTTGGGGGGGAACTGTTTTTTCAATGAAAATAAAATCATTCTGAATCACAAATATTTATTTATATATATATATTTAAAATATATATATATTTAAAATATATTTTATTGATTTTTTACAGAGAGAAAGGGAGAGGGATAGAGAGTTAGAAACATTGATGAGAGAGAAACATTGATCAGCTGCCTCCTGCACACCCCCTACTGGGGATGTGCCCGCAACCAAGATACATGCCCTTGACCGGAATGGAACCTGGAACCTTTCAGTCCTCAGGCCAACGCTCTATCCACTGAGCTAAACCGGTTTCGGCTATTTTTTGTAATCTTTATCATTGTTTATAAAATTTATAATTTTTTAATTTGACGTGTCCATTTTTTTTTTGTTGGTATTTTCTATTTTTTTGTAATTTTGTATTTTCCTTTGTGCTTTATATATATACATAAACAAAAATATATATGTATATTTCATTTATTTTCATTAAGTATAAATAAAAAAATAATAATATGAAATTACGTCCTCCGGGCGTGACGTACTGACATGTCCTAGTGAAAGATACAGGTTGCGTCATTAAAAAGGGAACTCCTGGTTAACAGGTTAAATCTTTTTGGAGTAATTATTATACCCAGCAAGATAATTATAAAAATGTAGTTTCTTTTTATCTGTACTCTATTTAATATAAACATGAAAAACAGACCTTTTTATTGCTGTTATGTATTGGTGTTCCTTTTTTTAAATAGTATTTATATAATATTCATTAATTGATTCTGTAAATTCAATTCAGGTTTTATCTCTACAATAATTAACATACTAGTATAAACTAATTAGTCTAAAGTAATATTTTGCCTTGGCTGGTTTTGCTCAGTGGATAGAGCATTGGCCTGCGGACTGAAGAGTCCTGGGTTAAATTCCAGTTAAGGGCACATGCCCTGGATTGCGCGCTTGACCTCCAGTGGGGGTTGTGCAGGAGGTAGCCGTCAATGATTCACTCTCATCACTGATTTTCTCTCTCTCTTTCCCTTCTTCCTTCCTCTGTGAAATAATAATCCCATCTAATAAAAAAGTAATATGCAAATTAACCATCAATCAGCTACACTAATAAGCCACACCCACCAGCCAATCAGGAGTGAATATGCAAATTAACCCAATCAAGATGGCTGCGGCCTCAGAGTGAGCAGGAGTTTCCCTGGCAATGGAGGAAGCCAAGCTTTTTGCACACCCTGGCTGGCCCAGGCCTCAAAGGCTACAAAGTATCAACTATAGAAGATAAATAAATCCCAACAAAAATGGCAGCAGCCGCTGAGTTAGAGAGAATAGGAGGCTTTAGTTGCCACAGTGATGGAGGAAGCCAGCTTTCAGCAGCCGTGGCTGCCTTGGCCTCTGCAAAAGGCTACAAAGTTTTAATTATAGAAGATAAATCCCAACAAAAATGGCTGTGACCACAGAGCAAGCAGGAGGCTTGGTTCTGCTCAAGGGTACAGTTTCAATTATAGATGATAAATAAATCCCATATACCAGGGCCTTCGCTTTAGTTGCCAGGGGTTTGGCCGGCCTGCAAATCACCACAGGCTTCTTGCCCAGGCCACTCTATGCCACAAGGAAACCCCCACCCTGATCCAGGACACCCTTCAGGGCAAACCAGCTGGCCCCCATCCATTCACCAGGCCTCTATCCCATCTAATAAAAGAGTAATATACAAATTGACCGTTACTCCCAACACATAAGATGGCTGCCCCAGGTGGTCAAAGATCCTGCCCCATATGGATACAAGATGGCCACCACAAGATGGCCAGCAGGGGAGGGAAGTTGGGAAGGACCAGGCCTGCAAGGGAGGGCAGTTGGGGGTGATCAAGCCTGCAGGGGAGAGCAGTTAGGGGCAAACGGGCTGGCAAGGGAGTGGTTAGGGGGTGATCAGGCTAGCAGGTAGAAGCAATTAGGGGCGACCAGGAAGACAGGCAGATGAGCAGTTGGGAGCCAGCAGTCTTGGATTGTGAGAAGTATGTCCCAGATTGGAGAGGGTGTAGGCTGGGTGAGGGACATCACCCGTGCCTCCCCCCCCCCCCCCCAATGCACGAATTTCGTGCACTGGGCCTATAATAATATAATGATGATGATTATGATGATGATATCATTTTAACTCAGTTAACTCAGTAAGTTACTTATATGAAAGTGTCATTCATGTGCCCAAACCTTAAATGAATTTAGGTTGACCCAGAAAAATCTGGAACACTGTTACTTGGAGCAGGGACTGCCAGATACAAGATCTGGGCTCTTAGGATCTCTGCTAATCTGTGTATTACAGGAATTCAAAGAGCCAGCGTGGAGATTCTAAATGCTAGGTGCCCCGAGTGTCAGGTATCTAGTAGGTACCATTGATACAGTAGTGAAAGAGCTGGAAATAAGTGCCATGTTTTTATGGAGCATATACTTTAGTAGTTGAAGAATTTAAGTAACATACTTTAAAGTTGTTATAAGTGATATAAATAAAATAATCTATCACTGAAAGAGTGTGACAGCAGAGATTTCCCCCCCGCCCCCAGGGTTATTTTGAGATTGGTAACAAAATGGGAATACTTTTGAAAGTTAAAGGGGGCACTACTAACAAGTAGATTAGGACACAGGTGTAGACCAGGACTGTCCTGGGAAAACTGGGTCAAGACAAGGTCCAGGACAAGGAATGCAAAATATATTATAGGAAGTGGGAAGGGAGGGTGGTGGGCTGGTAGGTTTTAAAGGACAATGTGGGAAAGGTTGTAAGTTGGGCTATAGAATAGTCACGAGTCATTTTTAGTCATTCAGCCAACATTATTGCATGTTCGTGTTGTGCCAGGCATAGGAGGCATTGGAATATAGCAATGAACAAAAGAGAAAACAGGTTAAAGTGTTGCCATGGCAGTGTTATGCAACTCCAGGGGGCACTATTAACACTGTGCTTTTTTAAAAAAGGTCTTTCATCCTAGTGGATAGCTAAGAACAAGTAAACAACCAAGATGAGTTCAGATAGTGGTTGTTAAAGGAAATAAAATAGGGTGGTATGAAACAATTATGTAAGGGGTTTCAAATTTTTTTTATTTTTCACATTAATGTATTTTTTATTATATTTGACATACAGTATTATATTAGTAGTTTCAGGTATACAACTCAGTGTTTCAACACTTATATATCTTACAAAGTGATTAGCACAGTAAGTCTAGTATCACTGTCAATTACATAGTTATTACAGTATTACTTTATTCCTATGTTGTACATTATGTCCCATGACTTATTTTATATTTGTAATTCTTTAAGGGCTTTTTTTCCTGATAAGATGGATAGTAATCTCAGATTTGGTATAGTCCAGGTAGTTTTCATAGAGATCTAGCTTTGGGGAGAAATTTCTGGTTTGGTGACATTTAACAAAAAAGAATCTATAATAACAGAAGTGTAATTTGCTAATTAGACCTGATGGCTTTGCTGGGGCTTCAAGGGAAGCCCGGTGCCGGCAGCCAGGAGAAGAAAGGCCTACTCTTGCACGGATTTCATGTATTGGGCCTCTAGTGAGTGAGTGTGTGTGTGTGTGTGTGTATGGATTTCAGAGAGGAAGGGAGGAGAGAGATAAAAGCATCATTAAGAGAGAATCATTGATTGTCTGCCTCCTGCATGCCCCCTACTGGGGATTAAACCTTGACCTCCTGGTTCATCATTGAGCCAAACTGGCGAGGCTGGTTTAGTGACATTTTAGGCAACCTTTTTTTTTTTTTTTTTTTTTTTTTTGAAGTCTTGTGAAACAATGAGCAGATTGAGCTGGTTGTAACCTGACAGAATCTGGTAAGCAAAGGTTAATAGGATGGAGATGGTTTACATTTGATACAACTTCTAAATTGGTAAATTGATGGTAATAAAAGTAAAAATTAAATTGGTAGTATTAAGAAGTATGAGATTCAGGAAAAGGTACAAATGAACATTTTTTTCTTTTTATTTGTTTTGAGCATCTTCACCTGAGGATAATTTTTTCATATATATATATATTATTATTTTTTTATTTTAGAGAATCAAAGGAAGGGGGACAGGGTGGGAGAGAGGGAGAGACACAAAGAGAGAAAGATGAGAATCATTGATGTGAGAGACACATTGATTGGTTGCCTCCTGTTTGCTCCCAGACTAGGGCTGGGATCGAACCCTCAGTGGTGAGGGCTCTCACCACTGAGATGCTGGCCAGGGCTTTCCTGATGGTTTTATGTAATTTCATATTCATTAGAAAAGTCACATTTGCATGTGACTATGATGTCATTAACACTTCATTATTTAGTGATTTTAATTAGCTTAACGAACATAAAAGAATAATATATTCTTAAAATTAAAAGTGCTTTTATTTGAGAGGACTTTCATATGCACTATTAGCTGGCATGCCCTTGAGATGTAAGAAAGATCAAGAATTGGTGAAATACTGATTTTAGAAATAAGAGTTCCCTGAAATCAGTGACAAATTGAGCTTTAGATATTCCTTTTTATTTTTTCTTTAGATATTCTTGATAGCCCTTTGAATTTCTTTTGGTCTGAAGTTCTGGGAGGCTAAATAGCATATTTGTTACATTTAAAATTTTTTCTTAGCCATGTAATCTGGGGAGCCCTAGTATTTTTGTCTTCTTTGTTTGTTTGATTATTTTGGGAATATTTGTAATTATAGGTTGGACTAATGTAAAAATTTTAAGCTGATCAGGATTTTAAAAACTAAACCATATTACGAAATTGATTCCTGCTTGAGCTACATTTTATTTTATTTATTTACTTATTTTTTTAAAATATGTTTTATTGATTTTTTTACAGAGAGGAAGGGGGAGGGATAGAAAGTTAGAAACATCGATGAGAGAGAAATATTGATCAGCTGCCTCCTGCATACCACCTACTGGAGATGTACCTGCAACCAAGGTACATGCCCTTGACCGGAATTGAACCTGGGACCCTTCAGTCTTCAGGCAAACAAACGCTCTATCTAGGGAGCCAAACAGGTCAGGGCTTGAGCTACATCTTATTGGGCCCTATATTTTCTGTGCTTGGTCAGAAAAGTTATTTGGTGTTTTGTTTCTTAAAATAAGAATTTAGGATAGGATTTGGATATATTAAGTATAAATTGATATAATGAAATGATTACTTAATGTTGATTCCTCTGCTCCTCTTTTGAAAGCAATTATCTGGCAAAAAGGAAAGTGTTGTAACATTTTCTGCCAACTAATAAGTAATTTGATGTCATTAGCTTGTTTCACTTTACTTTAGTACAGACATTTCCATATTTCTTTACTTTCTAAAATACATATTATGAAAATGAGAAAAACTAATGTATATTTGGTTTGGATTCTACCCAAAAATTATCCTAAGTAGTGCACAGGCTTCAAAGCAGTCATTTAATTTAGTTTATAAACCGATTATTGTTTTTCTTGATTTGGAGAAAAGTAAATTGCTTTTGTTACATGATCCATTCTGAGTTATAGTAATGCAGAGCTAAATGACTGTTACTATGTTGGTGTTTACAGTTGACTTCGATGCTATCGAATGCCATGTATTCAGCTTAAGTTTCAGCATTATTTTTGTCCTGTTTTAAAAAATAACTGCTAAGCTTTTTTTTTTTTAGATATGTTGAATGTGTTTGACACATATGATATGAAGAAAACTAAAGCATCTTAATTCTAAAGAGAATAAAAACTGTTTGGATTTATACCCTGAAATGTAATTATATTAAGTGAATAAATTATTTTTTCCAGGCAGACTCGAGGTTAAAAGCGCTTAATGCAACATTCAGAGTGAAAAACCCAGACAAGTAAGGCTTTGTTTTAATAACAGTTACAATGTTGTTTTGAATGGTGTCTATCAATCTATTTAATTTTTCATTTCTGAATGTATGCACTTCATTTACTAAATTTTTTAAACAGTAATTCACATTTAGTGAAATCCTCTTGTAGTTTAAAATTGATTTTAAAATTTGCTAACTTTATTGGATTTAAGGTTGTAACTGTCTGAAGTTTTAGAAAATTGAACCACTGATTTTTCCTAGAATAATTTTTTAAATGTTGTGGAAGGTATCAGAAAAATGAGAAAAGCAATTTTAATTTCATGTAAAGTAGCTTTTCTTATACAACTTTGCTTGACAAATATGTTCAAAGGTCAAAAGAAGATTATATATTACATACATATTTTGACAATAAATTTTCTACTTTGCACACCAAGAAAACTTGATACACAAATGCATACAAGCTTATAATGTCATAGAGATGTATTAGTTACTTGACTTCATTAGTGTCAGTTTGGCATTTTTTGGGAGTATTTCTATGTTAAAGGAAGCCAGTATATAAGTTTATTCTTTTTAATCCTCACCCCATGACATCCTTATTGATATTAGAGAGGAAGAAGGCTGTGGGGGAGAGAGAGAACATCAGTATGACAGAGAAACATCTACATGTTTGCCTTCCCTTACAATTGGGAATTGAACTGGCAACCTGTGTATGAACCCTGACCAGGAATTGAACTCAGAATTTATGTGTGTACAGGATGCCTCTCTAACCAACTGAGCCACAACAGCCAGGGCTAAGCTAGTATATTCAGAAATAACTTTTCTTGGTATAATACCTAGGTATTTCTTAAGATTTTGATTTTTCTCTGAAGTTGGTGGATAAATTAGGCTCTTCATTATATGTATTTTTTTTTAAATGTTAACATTTATTAATAATACTTTGGATTTTCACCTGGTATTTGGTTCAGCTGAATTTTTTCATTTAAAAATTTGCTTATGCACATGAGGCTTTTCCATTTTTAGCAATTAAGTTGATAAAGTCTGTTGGAATTTCTCTAGTTAGGGCTAAATTTAGCATTAATTTCTTTTTTTTATATATATTTAGAATATATTTTAGAAAATATATTCTAAAATATATTTTCCCTCTGACTCTATTTCTTTTCTTTTTTTTTTTTAATCAATCTTTATTGTTCGTATTATTACAAAGGTTCCTCATTTCTTCCCCCCTCCACCAGGTTCCCACCCCACCCTCTGCCCCTTCCCCATCCCCCATTGTCCTCATCCATAGGTGCACAGTTTATGTTCAGTCTCTTTCTCCCTCCCTTTCCTCGAGAACAGTCAGTCCACTCCCCTCCCATAAATGGACACATTGTTTAAACATAGCTGCTGGTTGAAATTGGATTACCTGTTCTGGGTGGGGAGGGCTTGTCATTCCCCTTAAAATTACGGTGTTAGCTTTAAAACCTCTTTTTGGCAAGAGACCTTAAACTTTCAGGACTTTAAATTTTTCAGATAGTAAATCAGTTACTTAGCATTTTCTCAAATCAATAATACCTCCACATGTCCAAGGATACACTTCACACAAAACACATTTCCAAATAGATCAACCAACCTCATTCAGGCCCCACACAAGGCACTCACAGATCAACACCCCAGCGCTATACTGATTTAACACATCCAGATCTAAGCCTTCCTCATCTGATTCAGCAGACCCTCAAGTTCCCCCAAAAGTTTCCAGCCATGTCCGAGAGGCAGCCTTGGGGTGGAGGCAGGCGAGGATGAGCTGTTCCGGGCCTGGCTGCTCCGAGCCTGGCCTCTGTTGCTCTGGTCCGTTCCACAACCAGCTGCTCCGGGACTGGCCACTGCCACTCCCGACCTGGCTGCTCCGGGCGTGGCTGCTGCTGCTCCGGGCCTGGCCGCACCTGACCCGGCTGCTCTGGGCCTGGCTGCTCAGGGCCCGGCCACTCCGGGCCTGGCTGCTCCCAGCCTGGCTTTAGCATTAATTTCTACATAATGTAAATATTTGTAGCAGACAAAGGCCAAGTTTGCACTGTTGGACTGTTGGATAGCCTATTATGCCTGACTTTATAAAACATAATACATTAACATGATGCCTTTGATTTTTAAGATAAGTTTTTAATTAAAATATAAATATCTATTTTTATAAATAAACATTTTAAATTTTTGTTAATTTGGAAATTGTGATGGTAACCATTGAGGTGTTTTTTAAAATAAAAAAATATTTTTTATTAATTTTTTAATTGATATTTTATAGAGAGAAAGAGAGATAGAGAGAAACATTGATGAGAGAGAAACATTGATCAGCTACCTCCTGCACACCTCCTACTGGGGATGTTCCCACAACCAAGGTTCAAGCCTTTGACCGGAATCAAACCTGGGACCCTTCAGTCCGCAGGCTAACGCTCTATCTACTGAGCCAAATCAGTAAGGGCTATTTTTTTAAATTTTTTATTTTTTTATTTTTAGAGAGAGAGAGGGAGTGAAGCATCGATTGGCTACCTCCTGCCTTTATACTGGGGATTGAGCCCGCCACCCGGGCATGTGCCCTGACTAGGGATGGAACTGGCAGCCTTTTAGTGTAAGGGTTGGCACTACTAACCAATGAGCACATTAGCCAGTGTAAGGTGTTTGCTTTTGTTTGTTTTTAATCGACTTTATATATTAAAGTGGTTTTAGGTTCACAAATCTGAGCAAATATTACAAAGTTCCCACATACCCTCTGCCCCAACACATGAACATCACCCCTGCATATGCATAACCTCTCTCAGTCTATCAACACCTCTCAGTAGAGTGGTACATTTGTTATAATCGATGAACCCATATTGACACATCATTGTCACTGAAAGACCATGGTTTCCTTTAGGGTCTGCTTTTGGTGGTGTATATTATATGGGTTTTGTGTACACATTATTTTAGTATATTACAAGGTATTTTCACTGCCCTACAAATCCTCTTTGCCCTGCCTATTTATCCCTACAGCCCTGGCAGCCATTGAACTTTTTACTGTCTGCATATTTTTACATTTTTCTGGAATGTCATATTATATAGTATGCAGCCTTTTCAGATTGACTTGTTTCACTTTGTAATGTGCATTTAAGGTTCCTCCAAGGTTTTTTTTAAGGGTTAACAATGACATCCATGGTATATAAGAGATGTTCTCTAGATTAAGAACTAAAGTTATGTCACCCTTTAGAAAGAGCTTTGGAACCCTAGCTGGTTTGGCTCAGTGGATAGAGCATCGTCCTGCAGACTGAAGGGCTCCAGGTTCAATTTTGGTAATTTGGTTGCAGGTTCCTTTCCTGCCTGGGTCCTGGTCAGGGATCGTGCAGGAGACAACCAATTGATGTGTTTCTCTCTCATCAGTATTTTTCTCTGTCTTTCCCCCTCTCTAAAAGTCAATGGAAAAATATACTCGGAGGAGGATTAAAAAATAATAATAAAAAATAAGAGCTTTGGAAAACTTACAAGAAAAATTTATGACAGTGATAGATGTACATTCACTAGAGGAGCAGGTAGATAAGATTTTAAATTAATATTTTAATATTAAAATTTTTTTCAATGGAATGTTTTCCAACGTAATGAAAAATATTTTGCAAATTGAATGTTTGCCTTCCCTTTTTGACCTAACTTAGGTTTTCTAGATTGGTAATTTTTGTTGTTAATCCTCACTGAGGTTATTTTTTTCCATTGATTTTTAGAGAGTGGGAGGGAGGAGGAGAAGAAGAGAAACATTGATGTGAGAGAGACACATCGATTGATTGCCTCTCGCACATGCCCCAACTTGGGCTGGGGATCGAATCTGCAACCCAGGTGTGTGCCCTTGACTAGGAGTTGAACCCACGACCTATGGTTTGGGGGCCGATGCTCTCACCATTGAACCACTCCAGCCAGGGCTAGATTGCTAAATTTTATTTACTATCCGTATTATATACAGTCACATGCCAGTTAACAACAGACTACCTATATGATGGTGGTCTCATAAGAATATAATGGAGCTAAAAATTTCTGTTGCCTTGTGATGTAGCCATCTCAAATGTCATAAGATAATGCATTACTCACCTGTTTGTGGTGATTCTGGGATAACCAACTTACTGCATTACCCATTATATAGAAGTACAGTACAGTACAGAAAATTATGTACAGTACAAAATTCTTGATGATAATGAATATGTTACTGGTTTATATATTTGCAAACTATACTTCTTATCACTATTTTAGGGTGTGTTCTCTCTATGTTAAAACAGTTTGCTGTAAAACTGTATGTCATGTTACACTGACAGCAGTCTATTATAATACACCTTATGTTTACAACATTTCTTGATTTCATCATTTTCTCTTGCACTTGATTTAATCTCATGTCATTTTGTACAGTTACATATTATACAGGCTTGTGGCTTACGGAGCAGTATGTTATACCTGTGGTGTACAGCTGGTGTGCCACATTTTTTTAAAACATGCACTACCTGACCAGTCAGGAGCATGGACCTCTTTTCTCTTAGATAATCAAATAAAAAAATGACAACACTCAACACAACAATAACTATCAAGTGTAAATGAATAAAAATCATACCTTTCTTTTTTGGCAGATCGCCAAAAATATATTTTTTGGTGTAACATAGAATTTTAGTAATTAGCTTATGTGTGCCATAAGATGAAAAAGGTTGAAAATTACTGGGCTATACCACTAAGATTTATGTAAGTGCACTCTATGATGTTCACACAATGACAAAATTGCCTAACAAGGGATTTCTCAGAACATATTTCTGTGAAGTGGCACATGACTGTATAGAATTTTAAATCTGATCTGATGATAAACATAACCAAGGCAGTTTTTTACTTCTAAGTTCTTGATAAAGTGTATAATGTGTTATTAGTAATATAATTTGTTTGCCTTAATTTCTAGATAAGAGAATTATCTACATCAGTCATTATTTAACAAATTCTTAATATATAGAAACTTTGTCCTATATCTAGCTAGACCAATAGATTATTTTTCATGCCACTACTAAAATAGTTTGCATCACTAAAATACTTTTATTCTATCCTTTCTTAAAATCTAGAAAACCAAAAAGTTTATTTCAGAGTGATTACCAAAATGATACTTGCTTCATGCATATTTATCTTTCTTAAAACTAGACTGTTTAGACCAGTGAAGAGGAAGATCTTGGTTGGGTCTTCTACTTTTATGTGGCAATATTTAGACGATATTTAGTATGTAGACTGAGTGATTAGTAGGATGTGTGGGATGAAACTGGGGGCAGGGGAAATACAGATGGCACCCAGGTTTCCATCTTTAAAATGCTAGGGAACATAGGGGGAAAGATTGGGGGAAGAGGAGGATAAGTTGAGCTTTGGATATGAGCAAGTACAAATGCCTGCTAGTCAGTTGGCTTTATAGATCTGGCATTTAGCGGGGAGAGAGTTGGGCTAGAGGTAGACATTTGGAATTCAACAGCATGTGATTATAATTGTGAAGCTTTGTGAGGAGTCCCATAGTGTGTAGAGTGACTGGTTGATTGTAAGATGGCTGAGGATCTAGGACTGAACCCTAAAGAAGCCAACTCTTTAAGGGCATTTTCCAAAGTGTAATCTGAGAATTCTGAATCCTGTGGGCAAGTTTTTATAAATTCAGGTTCCTGAGTCCCCCATGACCTCTGTGTACACTTGTGGTTATTTATAAGTCTCTCTTGCTGAAAGGCCCTCAATAGTGTTTTTAGAAACACTTTAGGCATTCTTTGCAAACTAAAGTTGGAGTGTAAGAGATGGGTGAAGGAAGGGAGTACCCGAGGAGACTTTAGGAGTAACCAGAAAGTAAGAAGAAAATCATGAGAAAATGACACTGATGTCAAGGGAACCAATTTTTGAGAAGGGTGAGGTCAGCTGTTACATTGCTGGAAGGGTCAAGTAAGATGAGGACTAAAGTAGATCAGTGGATTTTAGCAACATGAAAATAGTAGTAGGTGAATTGCTCATATCCAAAGCTCAACATGAGAGTTAGGGGCGCCAACGTGGGAGTTAGGGGCTGAGCAGTGAACAGAAAGGGAAGAAGTGGTTATTGCTGGAAAAACAATGCCTTATGAAAGTGTGGCTGTGAAAGGAGTGGGTATTGAGAAGGTGTTAACAGTTGGGAGTGTTATCAGGGAAATGTGTATGTATGTGTATCCAGGAGAGGCCATAAATTTACTGATATATTAATGAGAAGGAGCTTGTAGAGAGAGGAAGTGAGAAAATAGGAATGTGGGGTATAGCTGGGATAGAATCTGAAGTATTGGATGGGAAGAAGGATTGTTGAGGGAAGGAAGAAATGATGTGATATTGGAACCTTTCTAAGTTTCCTAGTAGGAGGTGGAGGTGGAGATAGTTCCTATCTGATGGGTTCTTCTTCTTTTTTTTTTTTTTTTTTTTTTTAATATATTTTATTGATTTCTTACAGAGAGGAAGGGAGAGAGAGAGAAAGCCAGAAACACCGACCAGCTGCCTCTTGCACACCCCCTTCTGGGGATGTGCCCACAACTAACGTACATGCCCCTGACCGGAATCGAACCCGGGACCCTTCAGTCCGCAGACAGACGCTCTATCCACTGAGCCAAACCGGTGTCGGCTGATGGCTTCTTTTTAATCTTTGAAGCTTGTTAGAGAGTGATAGGTGGTGGTATCAGAGGTTTCAGGTATTGGAGAATGACAGTTATTACCCTGTTTCCCCGAAAATAAGACAGTGTCTTATATTAATTTTTGCCCCCAAAGATGCTCTAGGTTTTATTTTCAGGGAATGTCTTATTTTTCCATGAAGAAGAATATAGTACACATTTATTGTTAAATGAAAATAAAGGAAATTTATTACCTGTATACGGTACGGTAGTTGTCAACACAAACCAGACAAACTGTGAATCCTACAGTATCAAGAATTTACTCATTTATTCAATGACAATCATGTCATCATCTTCTGGAACATCATCATAACAATCCAATTCCTGAATTTCCTGGTGAATTTCTTGTGACTCCATTTATTTCAAAATCAGTGGACCAAATCTGTCATGTTTAGCCTAGGGGGAGGGGCCCTTATTTTCGTGGGGGATGCCTTATATTTCATTCAGAAGGAAATCTGTAAGTAGGTCTTATTTTTGGAGGATGTCTTATTTTTGGGGAAACACGGTAGATTAGGAAAACCGATTACTGAGCAGCACTAAATTGAGGTTAGAGACCATGAGTTTATTTTTGTACCATAAGATTTTTATTTACTTATTGTTTTTTGAGAGAGAAAGAGATTTGATTTGTTAACTTGCTCTCATTGACTGATTCTTTTTTATTTTTATTTATTTCAGAGAGAAAGGGAGAGGGAGAGATAGAAACATTAGTGATGAGAGAAAATCATTGATTGGCTGCTTCCTGCATGCCCCCTACTGGGGCTCGAGCCCGAAACCTGAGCATGCGCCCTTGACCTGAATCTAACCCAGGACCTTCCAGTCCGTAGTCCAATGCTCTATCTACTGAGTCAAACCAGCTAGGTCATCATTGGCTGATTCTTGTAGGTACCCTGCGTGGAGATCAAACCTGCAGCCTTGGTGTATTCTGTATTGGGACAATGCTCTAACTCACTGAGCTACTGGTCAGGGCCCACAAGGTATTTTTAACTCCTTACATTTTTTCCTGTTTAATGTTTTCAAGTAATTTTATCTCTGTCTCAGTTCCTATCGCTTCTTGGCCTTTTGGCTAAGATCAGGTATAGTTAATCTATCTCAGTCCCCCACACAGTACAAATGAAATATATCTTTTCTTGGCTTTAAAAATATCAAAAGAAAGTATGGTTGTTTTATTTTAGAATTTTTAAAATTTGTATTGGTGTATAAATGTTCAAGACCTATAACGTATGGTTAAATAGAAGCAGTTTTATTCTCAAGAACTACAGTTGACCCTTGAACAATGTGGGAGTTAGGGGTGCCAACTGCTCCCTGCACAATCAGAAATCCACATGTAACTTATAGCCTACTGTTAACCTAAAGCTTCGCCATTAACATAAACAGTCAGTTAACCCATATTTTGTATGTTATATGTAATACATACTGTATTCTTACAATAAAGTGAGCTTAGAAAGAAGAAAATACTAAGAAAATTGTAAGGAAGAGTAAACACATTTGTAGTATTAATTGAGGGGAAAAAAATTCATGTATAAGTGGATGTACACAGTTCAAGCTTGTGTTGTTCAAGGGTCAGCTGTACTGTTTTGTCTTTCAGTTTTTTATGTGTTTTCATGAGAAAATTGTTTTATTCGTTTTCTGCTTCAGGAGATTTACTGAACTAAAGCACTACAGTGATGAACTACAGTCAGTCATCTCTCATCTTCTTCGAGTCAGAGCTGTAAGTGGTCCCCAAGAATTTTTTGGCACTCTTCTGTGCCAAAAAATTTTGGCTTCTCATGTGATCATTATGTTGTTAAGTAATGCAGAGTATTTATAATGAATAACTGATTTTTACATTCAAATTTGATGTGTTTAGCAAAACTGCATTTTTAAGAAATGCAAAATGTTTTCTGGCATAAACAATTCCAGTCAAGGCACAGGTCCAGGTTTTGGCTCCATCCCCAGTTAAGAGGCAGTCGATCAATGATTCTCTCTCATCATTGATGTTTCTATATTTCTCTCCCTCTCCCCTTCCTCTCTGAAATCAATAAAAACATATTTAAAAACAAAAGGATCTGAAAAAGCAGTAAGATAAATTGGTTTTTGAATTTAATTATAAACTAAAAGAACTTTTACCTAATGTATATATGACAAGAACCTTTAAAGAAATTGACCTTGTCATCAAAGGACAAAATGTACAAGGTATAGATTTTTATCCTCAACCTAATGAGAACAGGTTTCAGAAACTTTATTGACATGAGAGATAGCTTGAACTCCTCAGAGGAAAATGGCACTTGATTTGTGATTCACATTGAAATTAGATTATAAATGAGAGCAATACCAATGAAAAATACAGAATGCTTTCTGATTAGCTAAATTTCTGATTGTTTTTAAATTGGGAGAAATGCTATTTAGTCATGGAGGGTAACAGAAAAGTAAAAATGGAAGGTTAAAATTGAATACCGACAGTCAGTAAAGCATGAAGCAAGCACCGAAGAGAGAGCCTTTTTGTAACGTTCAGAGCTTGAGGGGAGGAGATGATGAATTGTTAACACATGTGAAAATAGAATTATTTGACTCTCTTTTCTGTAAAGGATAATTCTCTTGAAAGTAAAAAATGCAAAAATAAATTACAGGTAGGTTAAAGTGTTAAATATTTAAGACATTAAAACAAACCAGAAAGGGCAGATGGCCTTAGACTAAGGTGACCAGACGTCCCACTTTTTGGTGGGACAGTCCCTATTTTTAACAATTAGTCCCGTGTCCCGCGACATTTTAAAAAAGTTCAGATTTTTGGAAAGATTCTTTTTTAAAAAAGGGACTTTTTTAAAACGCAGCAGGATGTGGGACAAATTGTTAAAAATTGGGACTATCCCGCCAAAAGCGGGAGTTCTGGTCACCTTACTTTAGACTGAGAGGAGCTGGCTTTGGAACTTGTCTCTGTCATTTATCAGGTCCTTCAGGTCCAACTTTTCAGAGTTTTTTTGTTTGTTTTTGTTTTTGTTCTTGTTAGAAATGGGAATATCTGCCTGGCACATAGTAAGTGCTAAATAAATATTATATAAGTGGGTGACTTATTCATAGAGTTTATGAAACTCAATTGAGGTCATTTGCTTTGTAAACTAAAAGAAAAGGGAAATAATGTTGATACCTAACATTTATTGACCACTGTATATCAGCCACGGTGTTCAAGCCTATTATATTAGTCTTACCTAATTCCCACAGCAGCCCTTTGAAGATAGGTACTGGTATTGTCCCTATTTTATAGATTAGGAAACAGATGCAAATGAAGTTAAGTAATTTGCCTAATTTCACACTATAAATAGCCATGTGACCCCAGAACCCATGCTCTTGTCCACTTACAATGATGTATTAACAGAGGACATGAATTCAGGTGGATTGTGGGAGAACTGATTTTTATTGAGCCACTTTGCTTATTGCCAGGAATTTTATAGACGCCATCTTATTTAATCCTTACAAAATCATATGATGAAAGTGGTTTCCATATTTCTAAGAGAAAAAATATAATAGAAAGGCTTGGAGTGGTTTACTATATTCTCCAAAGTCAAACTAAAGTAAAAAGGAGCTGGAAGTTGAATTCACATTTGTCTGTCTCCAAATCCCTTATTTCCTGCTACCATGTACACTGCCTCTTTGGGGAAAATCAAATTTAAAATGGAGGAATGTTTAACCTTACTCATATTCTAAAAATGTAAATTACATTTTTTTTTTAATGTGGCTTTTTAAAAAAATATATATTTTATTGATTTTTTTATAGAGAGGAAGGGAGAGAGAAAGAGCCAGAAACGTCGATGAGAGAGAAACATCGACCAGCTGCCTCCTGCACATCCCCCACTGGGGATGTGCCCACAGCCAACGTACATGCCCTTGACCGGAATCAAACCCGGGACCTTTCAGTCCGCAGACAGACGCTCTATCACTGAGCCAAACCAGTTTGGGCTAAATTACAATTATTGAGATACTTTTTAACATTTAATTTATAGTCATTTATAAAGGTGTAATATCCAGTGTGAAATATTTAGTGATGATGGCACCATAAAGTATTGAATATAGCTTCTTTGGGAACCATTTTGGTAGTAACTATCAAAAGTCTTAAATCCTATAATCTTTGATTCCTTAGGAGACAACTCAAAAGAAAAGAAAAGCTATGTGTTTCCAGATTTTGAAAATAAGATCATCTAATAGAATGTCATAAAAGTTTGTCCTTTTTAATAGTCACGACTACTTCAGTGAGGATAGAGAAGACATTCCAATCATAGGTACAAATGATTCAGGCCTGGGGAAGATGTTAGGATGAGTTAGTCAGATTTCTTCTGTTGTCATAGAATCTGCTCCCTGTCAATTGTCAGTTGATCAAGTTTCAAAAGAAAAACTTGGCAAAAAGATGAAGTTGAAAAGCAGTCTAGACTGAATCATTGGTACACCCCCTTTTTTCCTGACACCAGTATTCCTTTTACCCTTCATTTTATTTTTTTCCATTACCACCTGGCACCAATATTCTCGATTACTGCCAACCATTGAATTAATCTAGTTTAAGGTTTTAATAATTTATGTTTTATTTCTCTACCCATTTTTGTTTTTCCTTTTCTTTAGAAAAGGCAATTTTTGTCTATTCTTTAGAGTTTTTCTTTGCTTCATCTTTCTCATTGATGATCTAGATACAAGTCACTCATGTTTTGGCTAGAACAATTTGTTTTCATGAATAGATCATACCAGAAACATTGTTAGTCTGATAATAACTGCTGAGTGTTGATTTGTTGCCTAGTTCATGGGTGAAGTAATTTCTCATGGCGTTGCTCACCTTTTTGGAGGATGAAATCAAGTATTTATTTAGATAAGAGATCATAGGTACATTTTTGTAATACACAAGGGAAAAAAACCACTTAAGTGAATAAGAGATAAAAAGACAGGAGGTGAGAAAATTTAGCATTTATAAATGAGATCATCAGTAATTTTAATAATTCAGAGAAGAAATTCAAACTGTACTTAAAAGTTTGAGACCATGTTTTATAACAAAAATAAAGTATTAGGCTTTTAAAGAAATACACTACTTAATAGTTTTTCCAAATGATTTCATAATATTTCTAGACACTGTCATAGATGGACATGAAAAGTAAAAAAAAATCAAGAACTTTGGCAAGCAAAGTATTAGTCCACAGCAACTTGTAAAGTTACTTTTTAATATAAAGACTAGAGGCCTGGTGCACAAATTAGTGCACCAGTGGGAAACTTCGGCCTGGCTCCGACATCCCCCAAGGGGTCCCAGATTGTGAGAAGGCACAGGCCAGGCAGAGGGACCCCACTGGTGCACAAATACGCACACCGGGCTCTAGTGTGCATGTAAGATATTTGGTTAATCTCTTCCGTCACTTCCCCTCCCCCTTCCTTCTGAGATTCATTAGTCTGTTCTATTTTTCCATGCCTGTAGTTTTGCTCTTGCATTGAACGTCTACCCTCTGGTGGCTAGTGCGTGTCATAGCTACTGGCCAGTCAGCTGTTCACTTGGGCTTTTATATATAGATTCTTCAATTTACATTTGTTCTTGTTAGAGGATCAGAAAGAAATTAACATGCCAAATATATTTGAGAAGCCTGTGAGCAATACAGCAAAAATAATTACTTTTAAAAGCCTATATTCTATGAAAATGTACCCCATCTGTAGTAACTGAGCAAATGTAAACCACATGATTATTCGGTCTTCTGCATAAGTCATTTAAACCCCAAATCTCACACAGTATCCCCTAAGTCCTCATCTCCTGTTCAAAGCCTCAACCTTTAAATTAATGTGCATTTGCTATTTGGAAAAGTCCTTATCTCCATTACTAAAAAATGTTTCTGTAAAGTCCCTTAGAAAATTTCTCAGTACCTTAGTAACAAGACATATCCAATAAAAGACCACAACCTAAGGAAAAAAGTACTGAGACTAACTTCTGAACACTCTCTACTCTAGACCTGCAACTTCAAGGAGACAACTTAAAACTTATTACTAAAAGAACAACATATTTTTTATCATGAATAACTGAGTTATTAGATTTCTAGGAAAATGAGACTTAAAAATGTGTTTTTGTTGATTTTTAATCAGCTTAACAATAACCCACAACCTTTGGACCAACTTGTTTTTGTTGATTTTTAGAGGAAGGGGGAATTAGAGAGAGTGAGAGACATTGATGTGAGAGAACCATTGATAGGCTGCCTTCCATCCAATTGGGGATCAAACCCAAAACCTATAGGACAATGCTCCAGCACTGGCGGGGGCAGAAAGTGAGATTTTTAAATTACGATTTAGCAAAGTCAACTAAAATGGATTTTCTTCCAATCATTTACGAATGCCAGAAATCAATTGAAGTTTCACATACAAAAGATATAATTACTGCATAATATGTAGTAAGTATTGGCACATATGCTTTCTTTTTTAAAGCATAAAATGTAATCTACATGTCTGATGTTCTTAAGATACATTTATGACATAGCTCAAAGACACTTCTACATGGCATGTAAACTGTCCCCAATTTAGTGCTTTCCAGTAGGTTTGTAGCAAGCATCAGGTTGCAGAGGAGAATATAAAAAAGAACTTTATGAGTTTTTGCATCCAGAGTTCTTCCTTAGAATCTGCAGACAGCCAGTGCTTGGTGACACAGAGTATGCCCTTGCATTGGTTGACAGTTTATTGGTTTTCTCTTTTTGATCAGGCAATAATTAATTCAAAAGTGTTAGGTCT